TTATTTGCTATATTTGTTTAGTTTAAATTACTTCGTAGTAATTCTGGTTAGTTTAATTAGTTAGTCGATTTTGGTTTTATTTTTATTTTTATTATTATACTTGTGTAGTTAGTAATGTTATTTTTATTTTTCTTCTATACTGTAATTGTTCATTTAATGAATAAGCAGTTTAGTTTTTATTTTATTTTATTTTATTTTCTTTTCTTCTCTTCTTTTAAGCTTGTGTTTGGGAAGCGTGGTTGAGGCTAAATTAGCCAGATGACGACAAACTAGGCTTATTTAGCCACTTCACGACAAAGGCTCCCCAACGGGTTGGAGAGGAACCGTTGTTCGGGTAAATTTACCAAAACACCCTCAAACAAATCAGAGATTCATTTCGCCCAACTGATGAATGAATCCAAACGCACAACACAACCAAAAACCTAGGGCACAGACGAAGCGAAGGAGGCGATTAGTGGCTACCAGCGGCGACGACATCTGAGCCAAGCTTTTTGGAGGAGATCGGGCCGGAGTAGGCATCTGCGGCGGCGAAGACGACTCCCGAACAGGTCGGCAAATCGGACGGTTGGGCCCTAACGTTGGCGGCGGCGAACAATAGACGGAACCCTCTCAAACACCACCGATCTTCAGGTAACTCTTTGAAATCCTTCTGATTTCGTAGATCTGTGTGTGTGGGGCCTCTGCTTACGATTCATGTCTGGAGTCCCTTTCTGTTTATACAACGTTAGGATTTTTCCCAAATTTGTGGAAGTGTGGAATCTGTATCTTTAAATTTTTCCATATTTTGTTTTTCCAAAGTTTTTTTTTTTTTTTTTTCCACTTTGGGTTCATTACAAATCCGGTTCATTACCGACCTGTTGAAGTGATTCGTCTTGCTTGGGTTCACACATTTTGGACACAGATGTATATATATATACATATATCTGTTCTTATATACAAATCTGCAACTCTGTGCGTAATTAGGGCCGGACTAGGTTGAGATTCGTAAAACACTCTCTTCTTCTTTTGATTTTGTTCTTATAATTATCATTAAAAATCTGCCTTTTCTCAGATCACAATTAGAAATGAAAATTTTGTGCTTGGGTTCACACATTTTGTTCAGATCACAATCTGATTTGGGTTCATAGTCAAATCTGATGTTTTTTCAGATTTGTTGATTTTGTGCTTGGGTTCACACATTTTGTTCTTATAATTATAAAAATTACAAATTTCAGATCACAAGTTTGAATTGATGTATTCACTAGCTGAATGAAATCTGATTTATGAAATTGATGTACACATTGTGCCACTGTTACTCTCTACCCATTTTTCAAATAAATTCTGAATCAAATCTGTGAATGCACTTATGTTATTGGGAATGAATATCAGATTCTGGTAAAGCTCTGTTCAGATCCGAAAAACACTCTGTCGTCTTTCTGATTTTTTGCTTATAATTATCAAGAAAAATCTAAAATTTCAGATCACACATTTGAATATATATATATATATATTATCTGATCTGATTCAAATAGTTGGTCTAATTTATAGAGCTTCAGAATCACAAATTTGGCCCATATGTATGAAGGCACCGTTGTTTAAACAAGTTCGGAAATGCAAATCTGGTCTAGAATTGGAATATCTGTTCGGTTATAGTTTCAAATGCAGATCTTCCATTTTTTTTTTTTATATATATAAATAAGAAATGCTGTTCCCATTTCTGAGTTGCTCAATTCCCATTTGTGCTTAACAGAAATTAAAAATTCCTATTTGTGAAATGCTCAATTCCCCTGATTGTTGCGTAATAGAAATGCTCAATTCCCATTTGTGAATTTTTTTTGAATTACATAAAAAAAAAAATAATTCCAACTCTGGGTTACAAGTTACAGATATTAACAACAACTTGTGAAAATATATATAACTTGTGGTCCAAAAAGAAAAAAATTGAAAATCGGGATCAATTAAGCAATATATTAAAAATATATTACGAAGATATTAAAAAAATATATGTGAAATGTTTATTACAAATTTTGATTTACAAGGTAAAGACTGTAAAAATTTTATTACACATATATGTAAAAATTGAATTATGAAAAACTTTATCATCAATATATGAATAAATGTTTTCAAAAGAGCCAAAAAATATATTGAAAATATATTACAAATTAGATGTATTAATTTGCATATATTTTTTACTGAAGACGAAATGGTCAATTCTCAATCCAAGAAAATAAATTAATTACATAAAAAATATTTTCCAACTAAATTAGGGAAGGAAGGTTCATATATTATCTACAGATATTAACACCAAATTACAAAATTTATTATATTTATATTACAAATATATTAAACAAACAGTTTATTAAAAATACATTACAGTTAAAAAAAAATGCGTGTAAAACTTTTATTACACAGATATGACAAAATTTAATTATGAAAAACTATATCATAAATATATTCAAAAAATATTTTCAAAATATGAAAAAAAAAATTTGTTGAAAATATATTACAAATTAGATGTCTTAATTTGCATATATGTTTTACTCAGGACGAACTGCTCATTTCTCATTTCTAAAAAATAAATTAATTAGCACTGTAAATATTTTTATTACTACATTTGGGAAGGAAGGTAGATATATGTACATATATTAACAACAAATTACAAAATATATGAAATTTATGTTAGAAATATAGAAAAATAACAGTTGACTAAAAATATATTACAAAAATGTTTGACAGATATTAATAATGTATTAATATTATATATTACAAATTTAGAGGTAAACAATAAAGAGTGTAAAAGTTTTATTAAACAGATATGACTACATGTAAGTATGAAAAAACTTTATCATAAATATATTCAAAAATGTAAATATATTCTCACCAATCCATTTTGCTGCCTAGCATAAAAAATATTATCAAAATATATTACAACATAGATTTATTAATTTGAGTACTCAATCGTGTTCATGTTGATTCATGTAAATTTACTTTATATTAAAGCGTAGCAGTTTTCCAAAATTACCCTTTGATAGTACACTTTTTTGAGAATATCAATGTCATAATTGTACTTTTTATATTATTTATGAATTTAAAAGAAGGGCAAAATGGGAAATTTATATTATTTTTGTACTTGATTTTTGAAGAGGGACTAATATTTTGGGACAATGAAAAATGGAATAAGGGACTAATATTATGGGACGGAGGGAGTATTACAAATTTAGAGGTAAACAATAAAGAGTGTAAAAGTTTTATTAAACATATATGACTACATGTAAGTATGAAAAATTTTATCATAAATATATTCAAAAACGTAAATATAGTACAAATATATTCTCACCAATCCATTTTGCTGACTATCATAAAAAATGTAGTACAAATATATTCTCACCAATCCATTTTGCTGCCTATCATAAAAAATATTATCAAAATATATTACAACATAGATTTATTAATTTGAGTACGCAATCGTGTTCATGTTCATTCATGTCAATTTACTTTATATTAAATCGTAACATGGCGTCGTTCACCTCTACTGCAACTTCCAGTACATGGCCAGGACGAATGTGTGCCTGTGGATATGGCCCGTGTATTGTTAGGATTTCCAGGTCCACCAAGAATCCAGGGCGTTCCTACTTTGTATGTCTCCGCCCTGTGGTGAGTGACCCAATCTTTACCGGTCATAACTTAATGAACATTAACAACCCATGAAACTAATAGTTGCATACTTTTTACTCATCAGCCTTGTGTCAGTTGGATTGGTTGGTGTGAAGAACGAAGCCATGAGAACCAAGGCTATGCGTCAGCTGGAGATGAAATTGCCATGCAATTGCGGGCTGATGTCATAGACATTCAACAATCTTTGCGTATGCTTAAGACCATTGTG